AACACCCCCCCCCAAAAAAACACAGAAAGGACTTTGTTGTGGGGAGCCAGGTATGGGGCAAAGACTCAGGCATTTGATAACTGCTCCCCTTAGAGCACTTCCTCATCCTCATGAACCGGAAAACTACCCACGTGAGTGTTTACCTTTTGGAGGCATGACTATTTCTTCTCCTTACACCACAGCAGGTCTCACCCAGGCCTGGGGCATGTGGGCGGGCGATCAAAAAAAGCCACAGGGAATGGCGACTGGAAGATGAAAGCTAACTGCTGACTCAGCAGGAGTCACCTGGAGGGTGCCAGATAGTTGCCCGTCCAGCTAGCGCTCCAGTATATGCTACATTTGTCTCTGCAAGCTGATGCCATCCAGCAGCTCCCAGTGGCCTCCCCATGCCCTCACCAAAGGGATTGCTGGCCAGTCTACACAGACACCTGTTGCTAATACACAGCTAGAAGACTTGTAACGTCATCACACCTCCCCCCGTTTGGCTGAGGACATCAAGGAGTCGCCACTCCTCGTTGGCATGTGCCTTGTTCTAGCATGGAAGCCAGAAGGAATTAATTCTATCTGTTGGATCTCTGTCCTGTACCAGGGGATTAGAGAGGGGCAATAACCTTTATTCTATCAAATTAATTTGAAACGAGGAAAAGCAAGATCCAGGAGAGTTTAGACCAGAAATGTTTAATTGTTCCATGTATCAGAATGACCTTTTTTTATTATTAACATATAATGTATTATTTGTTTCAGGGGTACAGGTCTGTGATTCATCAGTCTTACACAATTCACAGTGCTCACCATAGCACATACCCTCCCCAGTGTCTATCACCCAGCCACCCCATCCCACCCCCTACCACTCCAGCAACCCTCAGTTTGTTTCCTGAGATTAAGAGTCTCTTATGTTTGTCTCCCTCTCTGGTTTCTTGTTGTTTCATTTTTCCCTCCCTTCCCCTATGATCTTCTGCCTTGTTTCTCAAATTCCTCATATCAGTGAGATCATCTGATACATGTCTTTCTCTGACTGACTTATTTCGCTTAGCATAATACCCTCTAGTTCCATCCACGTCGTTGCAAATGGCAAGATTTCATTTTTGATGGCTGCATAATATTCCATTGTCTGTGTGTGTGTCTCTCTGTGTGTGTGTGTGTCTGTGTGCATACCACATCTTCTTTATCCATTCATCTGGTGATGGACATCTAGGCTCTTACCACAGTTTGGCTATTGTGGACATTGCTGATATAAACATTGGGGTGCATGTACCTCTTCAGATCACTACATTTGTACCTTTGGGGTAAATACCCAGTAGTGCAATTGCTGGGTCGTAGGGTAGCTCTATTTTCAACTTTTTGAGGAACCTCCATACTGTTTTCCAGTCAGAATGACCTCTTGAAAAGATTGTAAACTGCCTATTTAATAACCTTTCTCCTCCACTGCTGTACCTACAGAACGTATTTTTATGGGAGTGGCAAAAAGTGCCCAGCTTAAAACAAAATGAAACAAAACACACTGCACATTTTCAGGTTCCCTTGCAGGAAAGGATGGCCCTATCATGCTAACTAATGAGATGTAAGTTGAAATCACCAAGTAGGACATCTAGGAAGAACAGATGTGGCCAGCTTGTCTGTTCATTACCTTTTGTCCCTTATCCTTCACCTTCTTCTTGACTGGAAACATGGTACTCAGATCTCCGACAGCCATTTCATGAGTGTGAGGAAGAGGGCAACACAGTAAGGATTATGGAACAGAAAGCAAGAAGAAGAAGAAGCTCATGGCATTTGCTGATAGAGACTATAATTCTAGAGCATGGGAACCTTGCAATTTACTTCGTTTTTCTGAGTGTCCGTTTCCTAAAGCATATTACCTCCCTTGCAGGGTTTTTTATGGGTGTTTAAATGAGACAGTATGTGTCAAATTGCCTCAATCAACAAATCACCCCTTTTTCCCTTCTGATTAGATCTCCAGACTCAAGGGAAAGTTAAGCCAGACTGACTTACTACCACCTGACGCTTTCAAAGTCGGCCTCTGTATGAAGTGTTTTTTTTTGGCATAGATACTACTGAGTAAACAAGGCCCTCAGCAAGTGAAAGAGATTCTCTTCAAGGTGAACTGTAGGAACCCAAGGTAAGTAGCAGACTGGGCCTTGCCATGCTGGAGCAGAGAAAATGTATGGCCCTTGCTCAGTACAGGACCTAAGAATTTCTGAAAGAAAGCAACCATCACGAAGTATCCCGAATCCCCTTACAGCCCACAACATTCATCCCTCAAGGAAGTAATGGCAAAATGAAAAGGTAAAAAGGGAAAGAAAACCACTGTATGACCTCCGGCCTGGAGACCTTCATACAGAGAGAAGGCCTGTCATTCCTTCCCCCAATTACAAGCATATACATTATTTTCATACCGAAGTGCAGGTAAGGCACCTGTGAACAAGCGACTTTTCTGGTGTTTTCCACTTTTTAAGAAAATTACAGAATTCTACAATTTCTTTTTTCTAGCCAGCGCTTCTTTGGTGCTATATAAATCTGATAACTTCTTTCTCTTTCAAACAGCCATAAGCAAACTTTTACTGTACACGGCTTTGTGATCCATAGGGTCTCTGTTGCAACTACTCATCTCTGCCATTCGGTGAGACGGCAACACTGGCAAGACGTGAGGAGTGGATGTGGCTCCGTTTCACTTAAGTCCCGTTTACAAAAGCAGGTGGCCTACAGCTTGGCAGTTGCTGTTTTCAAGGACATTGAAACCATGCAAAACTAAACAAGAAACGTTCAGTAATGGGTAAGACTCTCACCAACAATCATCACCATGAAACCAACCAGAGAGCTTGAAGTAAAGACCAACAGAGAGAGAGGAATGAAACGGGAGAGGCTAGCATTCCGACAACATTGGGAACAGTGCCAATCATGCAAAGCCAGAGTCCATGGTGTCAGCCCCCCCTTTATCCTGAGTTCACAGTCTCCCTCCTCCATGTCCCCAAAGCCAGCCCTGACCCACGCCTCACACCAGCGACTACACCTTACCCTCCAGTGTCTATCAGGATGCGTTTTGTCATTTTCTCGAGAAAGTAATTTAACACCACTTTCAGAGACGATTACCAACTTATAGAGAAAAACATATCAAAAAGATACTGTAGGGAAACAATCAGCAAAATTTGAGACGGGAGCAAACTCTCCAAACAACTCAGTTTCTTCAACAAATAAATTGCAGATAGAAAGAGGCAGAGAGGGGCGCCTGGGTGGCTCAGTTGGTTAAGCGACTGCCTTCGGCTCAGGTCATGATCCTGGAGTCCCAGGATCGAGTCCCGCATCGGGCTCCCTGCTCGGCGGGGAGTCTGCTTCTCCCTCTGACCCTCCCCCCTCTCATGTGCTCTCTCTCTTTCATTCTCTCTGTCTCAAATAAATAAATAAAATCTTTAAAAAAAAAAAAAAAAGAAAGAGGCAGAGAGAGAGAGATTTGGAACCTACAGATTAAAAGGGACTTCAAGATTTATAACCAATTGTAGCATGTGGAAATTATTTGGAGCCTGATTCAAACTACGAAAAACAAATTATGACATTTGAGACAACTGTAATTTGAACACTATATGTATTTTCAAGGATTTAAAAATGCTTATCTCGTGCTAAGCAAGGTGATGGCTATGTTCGTTAACTAGATGGGGGAACCCCTTCACCGGGCACGTGTATAGCAAATCCCCACAATGTACACTTTAAATATCTTACAATTTTATGTATCAATGATACCTCAACAAAGCTGGGGAAAAAGAGGGAAACGTGCTCATCTTTTAGAGATTTATACTGAAATACTAATGCATAAAATGAAATGATATCTGGAATTTGCTTCCACAGAATGCAGGGGGGGGGACTTGGGGGGGGCAGAGATGAAATGAAATTGGCCATGAGTTTACAATGACAGAAGCTGGCTAATAGATATTTGAGGATTCATTATGCTATTCTGCCTACTCTTATAAACCTTGAAAATTTTAGATAAGAGCTTTACAAAAGTTTGAAGGAAAGACCCATTAGGGCTTAAAATTAGACTTCCGTCAAGGAGGAGATTCTGGATTTATTGGTATTTCACCTGTGCGTATGTGTATAGTTTTTTTCTCTCAGTGGGGATTTTAAAGCTTAGAGGAAGAGTTTAAAGGGAATGCAAGCATGGGAGTAAATTGTTCTTGTTCCTGAAAGATAAGCCTTGGAGATGCTGGGATAACCTGCAACTTAATTTCTTAATGAATGAATTTCTTAATGAATGAATTTCTTGAGCGGCACTGAAGTACTCTCACAGCAATGAAACATAACCCTCTGCCACCCCTTGGCCAATACTTCAACGTGCTGCTGACCAGCTCCGGGTAGGAAGTATGAGAAGGAAGAAAATCATAACCAGAGGTCTCAGGATTGGAGGATGAAAAGGAAATACTGAGTGGAGGGGATTATGGGACATCAGCACATGTGCCAGAGTGAAAGGTCATGTGGGGTCTTGCTCAAAGTGCCGTCCCAAGAGACCTAGGTTTCGATCCCAGCCCCACAACCAGTTGGCTGAGCAATCTTAGATGATCACTCAACCACTGTGGTTCTTGACTGTTTTATTTGTAAACTGAAGAACATGAATTAAAATTCCTAGGAAGACCCATAATCTAAGAGAGAAAAAAAAAAAAAACCTGAGGATTTTGCTCTTGAAAGCCAGCCTGAAAACACTAGGCCCCACACATTTACTTAGTTTTAGTCCAGTGAGAGCTGCTTTGAAATGTTACCACTGAGCCACAGAGCCCTGGCTTTTGGACAAAGAAACAAGGCAAAATTAGTGAAGTTACAAAGAGACCATGCTGGAACGTGAGAATTAATATGCCCTACACTGGTATCAATGCTTCAACTAAGGCGAGAAATTATGGATGAAAATGACTGAGAATAAATGAGTTTTCTGGGTATTCAACCACCTATGGGTGCCAACTGTCCTGAAGGCAATCTGTCTTTCAACAACTGCAACTGATATTCTGTTGGACAAGACATACCTGACACTTAGAACTTCACAGGCCAAATAATACTGGATCAACTTCCAGAAACTAGGTCCCACAACACAGCACATGGATTTCCACTTGACACCTCAAGATCAGGCCCAGTTCCAGATCTGCATCTCGATGTGATGCATCCATCATATCCGGCCTTAAACTCTCAGCATGCCATCAGCTCTGCAATAAGATTTTAAGAAAATAACCGGTCCAATTGGTTAAATGACCTTCAAAGAGAGAAAAAGTCATTGGAAATGCTGAAGAAGCTGGGCACACTGAATTAATTCACAATACTTTTGACCTTAACTTGCAGGAACTGTTCACTAATCAAGAAGAACGAATTCTCTCTACTCAGAGTGCCTAATTATTCTTGTGCTTACGCTTCCCCTTCTGACATAAAGTACCCCTTCACAAAGCAGGGAGGTTTCTGACTGCGTTGCCTCAACTGGTCTTGACAAGAGAAGAGATGAATCACAGGAAGAGCTTGGCACCATCTCAACTTGTACTAACTCTTTACCAAGGGCTAAATCATAGCTGGCCAGATACTGGGAGCTCTTCCTTTCTTCCTTTATTTATTTAATAAGAATAGGGGCATTCACCAAGGATCAGTCCTACTTGACATAATTAGTAGAATCATTGATGAATTAGCAGACAGACTGTTGTCAAGAGTGGATCTATGCATACAGTGAAGGCAAGCACGGACAGGATTGACTTGATCTTCAGGCAAGCTTCCTGATGGCCCCCAAACTAATCTGTAGCAAGAAATGGAATCACCAACATAATCTCCTATATAATGAAGACAGAGAGAGCTAAATATCTCTGAGCTTCACCTCCTGAGCATCACCTCCATTAGAATACTACAAGCCAAGGTTTTCATGTTTCCTCTACTGCAAATGTTTCTCCTTGTAATTTGAAGATATGCACACAAGCTTCAGTTATCTATGTGAACAACTCTCTACTCTCTAATGCATCCCAAATGAACCTACTGCTCCATATGTCTGGGTTCGGCTAATTTTGAAGCCTGTGCATTTTTTTTTTCTGATCTCATCATAATAGGGCAGTGACAAAAAGCTGTCCAGAAGAAAAATAAGAGATGATAAATGGGAGGTGGGGCAGGGGGGCTGTGTGTGTTTAATACATACAGGATGAATAGCATACATAAGGAACACATGCAAATAAACAGTAATCGATATTAACAATCTACTAGGCTGGCAAGCAACAGGTGAGATGATTGTAACCTTGGTGGAAAAATTAGCTGATAAATAGTTCGTAAGTCTCTGAGGGGAGGGGCAGGGAAGAAAATTCATATTTACTCTGTAGTCACACCATGTCACTCTCAAAGGAGCTGACTGCTGTATTCTTTTTCTGTGCGTATATCTCCTAGTACATGCAGGGTGCCTGGAAGTACTTAGTACACAGTCTGTAAGTACTTAGTAGACAGATGGAGTGTCCTGAATGTGACATGGGCATACTTTCCTTCTACCCATTATTTTCTCTTCTCTTTTTTGCTTGCCTATAAAAGTAACAAGTACCTTCAAGCAGTATCTTCACCTTATAAATGTAATCTATCTTCCTCCTCAAATAAATAAAAAAGTATTGGGAGGATAATAAATAAGGAATTGGGAGATGTGTCATTTAGCTCCATACCCGTGAAACAATAAAACGTAGATGCCGGCAGAGTGCCTCAGTGAGATAGCAGAGATTCAGAAACACCAAGACATGGAAGCTTTCATCACTTATCCAAAGGGGATGCTAAGTCAGAAACTTCCTTTCCAACCATTTATAAGTTTCGCTCTGATGGCCGAGCACTACAAAAGAATCAATGTATTTTTATAGCACAAGTGAATACCTTCATGTGGTTCATTCATCCATAAAAGACAACGATCAGAAATAAAAACCCAATGTTTCAAGAAGACTCTCTATTAGACTTTTAAATTCTGGCTGAGGATGTCACCCACCTGTCTAAGGATCAGTTTGCAATACATAAGTTGTATCTAAGGCAGTATGTTTTCTCTCTTATCCTCCCATTCCTGCTAGGCTATGCTTGAAGGTAGACAGGACTGTCTGACTTCCTCACAGCAAATTTACAGAAGGCAGAGTGCTGAATGAACACTTAGATTTCTAGGACTCATCTCCTGGATACTGCCAGTTTCAGATATAGCCATCCATGCTGGGTGGTGCCTAAGGAGTTTTAGACAGAAGACGACATATGGCTCTCTTTCCCCCCTAACAAAGTCTTGAATAATCAGAGTCAGTTTCTCAATATTAGAAGTTTAAATAGGGCTCCATAACATCTTGAACTATGTTACTAGTACCCAGAAATGAAGATAATGGGGGGGGAGCAAGAACTTATGTATGACCTCTGCCTTGCCCCTAAAAATGACCATCCCACCACTTCCAATCAGCCAGGAAATGGTTGCTAATCGTTCCAACAGGAAGAGACGTGTTATGTCAGCCAGAGAGCCTCAAGGTCCAGTCTTGGTGATGATGTTCCCTTTAGTGCCTGTTGTTCCTTCTGAGTTCCTAAAATTGTTCAGAAATAGGGCTTATGGAGAGTTTGGTCATGAGAAGCAGAATAAAGTATACACTGCCCTATGGGACTTCTCGAGCATTTCCTGGGCATTGATTTAGAGCACCCATTCTCTGCTGCAGAGAACAATATTCCCAAGAAACTTTAAGATTCACTTTCTGTCCTCCAAGTGCTCAGTGTCAGTCTCTAAAAAGGCTTCCCGGCGTTGATTATGTAAAACCATGTTAGCTGACTTCTAGATAGCTAGACCAACAAAACCATAATGGAGGGTCCACAGCATGACCACAATGTAGGCAAGATTAGGAAAATGTATCCACCTGGCTGTAGCTTACCAATATTATCATAGTCTAATCTTGGCAAATGAAAGCTGGAAAAAATAGTTCAAGCCTAATACATGTATAAAATGTATATAAAATTAGTAATTGGGTCTATGGACACAGAAGCAGTACTTCTAGAAATATTTCTTTTGCTCTAAATTTATAAGCATTAACAGACCCTAATAGTTTCTGCTATCACTGTATATGATCCCACCAATAAAAAATAGACAATGCATGATCCTTATGTGTTAGATTCCTCCATAAAAATCATTTCTAACTGGAGACCATGGTCCTCTCAGAAAGTCATATACACAGGTCTAAAGCTATGTATCTTGCATGCCCATGTAACTACAAAAAATCTTTTTTAGGCATACAACCCTCCGTAGACAGGCAGTTTTTTTTTTTTAAACAACTTAATAACTTGATAAAATTTTTATAGTATGCAAAGAATATTTCCCCTGATAGGATATACTGAATTCCTTCTCCATTCTTAAGAAAAGCTGGCTTTCTTCTAAGCAACAGCTTTCGTTGAACACAGTGAGTACTCCATCTCCCCGCCTCCACTGACATACTTGGCACCAAAACCTGTTTTCTGCCTACAAAAATCCCTAAAACTAGAAAACGCCCAGTCACTCATGGGGAGAGGTGGGCACGAGCCCTTTGAAAACACCAACTCCATTTTATCTTAAATGTACCGAATAATGGCGTTTCTACACAATAATAAGACTTTTTCCTGACAGCGTGGATTCTGACTTCCCATTACACATTTCATTACTTTATTTGTGGTGATCTAAACTGCTTCTGACATTCTTTGATGCCTCCGCCCTTTACATACTTGCAGGCTTATCTGTGTTTTAAGTCAATTTTTGCCCATTGTTTGCCAAATTCCCATTTAACTCTCAAAAGCTTTACCCAGGCAACACAATTTTTGGTTCCCTTATCTTGAATTCAAATGCACATAAAATATGCCATTTCAGGATGGCCCATTTGAAAAAGCTCTCTCTTAGGAGTACCTTTAAGCTGTGGTACCAAAGTGGGCTCCATAAAATAATACTTAAACATTCTAAATATAGTTCTCCAAAGATTTTTTTTTTCCAAATCAGCAGCAAAAAGAAAATCTGGATTATAACCAACATTTGCAAGTGTGAGTTTGTAATTTAGCATTAATTATGTTTAAAATCACTCTTTCCTCTACATATAATCTAAACCTTAAGCCAAGTAGAACCACAGCCTTCTCCACCTCCCTGGCTCACCTCAACTACTTCTGCCTACAGCAGAAAAACTCAAGATGCCTTCCCATTTTCAAACCAACAATGAGAACAGACTCCAATTTTTAGCTACACATATCAGAGACCCTGCTTCATCAATCAATTTCTATATGGCTTTCATCTAAATCATAAGTAGTCCTTTCCCCATATTTCACTTTACTGCTTACTTATTTCCACTCTACTTCACTTTTCTCTATCCTAATCCTCACCTTCCTCACCATTGGCCACTCATTGTTTTCCCCACCACTATCCACTATCTGGATTTGCTAGTCTTATAAACTCAATTGGCCTTTTGCCTAATCATTAGGGTCACTAGGGTCACCATTTAATAGTTTGAAAATCTTCACAGGGACCATACAAATGCAGACAAAAAGGGATCCCTTTTGCAGCTCTGACTTCAAGTTGTTTACAGAAACAGAGTGCAAGGAAAAGCTGGAATTGCTGAACATGATGTAAACAAGAGGGGGGAGTAGAGGAGAAAAAGAGGTCTGTGATTTTTCTTTGACTCCAGCTAGGCGTCCCTCTTCCACAAACTCCTAGTCTACTTGCTGTTCAAGATCCCCATAACCAGTCATATCTAAAACTTCCTAATCTTTTGCCCTGAAAATGCCACATGCATTCCTGTCTTCATGCCTTGGTGTGACCCACACCTGCTGTCAGGAATGCCCTCTCCCTCTGCCTGCTTAGGGACCTCCCACCCACATGTCCTGCCTCAGCTCCAGCCCACCCCTTGGACAGCAGTCCCTCATCCACACCTCCTGTGTAGGGAATTCTCTGTATTCATTTAGCACTTTCCATATTCTGCCTCGTAGAACGTATATAAAAAGGTCTATCTGTTCTGGGAAAACAGCAAACAAGTAGAGATCTAGGACTTGTATAAACATTTCATATTCTCAAAAGAACTCTGTAACATGGTATTAGGATCTCTAGTTTAGAGAAAATGGAGCCTCAGAACATCCAAGTGATGAGCCCAGGGCCAAACCTGCCTCCGAAACCTGTGTCTGTTCCCTTTTGCTAATTGCCTCTACTGCTAGCGAAAGAAAATGCTTTAAAAAGCAGACCTGTGTCTTACACCGCTCCTCAGCTTGCAGTCTGTGAGCACTTAATGAATATTCATGGCCGCTTACAATCAAAGGAGATCGCATTTCCCGAGTGTACCACTCTAGAGGAAGAGAGCCAAGAGGCAGAAGAAAGCAAGTGTGGGATTAAAGTTTCCGCAGATAATCCACCAAGTGAATGATCCTCGGGCATGATAATCCAGTGTTGGCTACATATCCAATTCCAAGAGGTCTCCTGCTTCATTTCACTGGATGAACCGTGGACGCTGATGTCAGAGCATAAACACCAGCGTTTACTTCCATGGCCATTTCTGCTCATCCAGTGAACTTGCAGGGCCTGGAATTAATCCTCGGTGGATGTTGGAAATATTATGACAACAGCCGGTGCTGTCATTTGCAATGTCCAAAATGGAACTTCCATTTTTTATTCCCCAAGGGAGATTTATGTGTTTCTTTTCAAGTACCAGGCTTACTTCAAAATCAAAATATCCACTTTCTCCTCAACAGTTGGATTTTTCTTATTATTTAAAAACAAAGAATGGCTTTCTAACATCATACTGGCCCCTGTGTTATATAGGCTGTGATATATTCATGTTTTACACCCAGAGTAATGTTTCTGAGAAACATGTTTTTGATTGTGATTTTTGAATCTGTGCAAGTAAAAGGTGTGATACCATGGATACCATAGTGCTTTCCAGAGGGATGGAGAGCAGTTTTTATGAAAAAAAAAAAAAGAAAAATGACTCAGTTTTTTGTTTGTTTTTCTTTCTGAAAATCAGTCATGGAAACTTCAGTCG